ATCCAAACCCCCTGCTACTGGCAAGGACATCTTCAAGTAGATCAGGTTGCTCAGAGCCCCAGCCAAGCTGACCTTGAATGTGTCCAGGGCTAGGGCACCTGCCAGCTCTCTGGGCGACCTGTGCCAGCATTTCAGCACTCTCCTGCTAAAGAGTTTCTTCCTTACAGCCCATCTGAATGGACTCTCTTTTAGTTTCAAACCTTTTCCCCCTTGTCTCTTGCAATTGGCCCTGCTAATTAGATGTGTCCCCATCTTTCTCCAAAGCCCCTTCAATTATTGAACTTGTCTCCTCGGGGCTTGTCCTTCTCCAGGCCAAAGAAGCCCAGTTCTCACAGGTGTTCCTCAGAGGAGAGCTCCCAGCTTCTGGTCATTTCTGAGGCCCTCTTTTGCTCTCGGGTGCTGTTTTCAGGTTTACCTGCTAGCGAAGGAACTGAAGTATCGCAATGCTGGGGACAGAGGCCCACAGTGGCGTTTGGAAAACACAACGAAAGCAGTCCCTGACAAGCGGTTCTAGGTTGATCTGTGGGAAGGCAGGGGCTGTGGGAGGCTGACTGTGAGCCTCAGAGGGGACCCAGCTTGTCCCTCCTGCCCCACTCTTAGAAGTTGCTGCCAGCCAAACAAGGACAGCTGAGCAGCATTTGTGCCAGCCCCATGTGCTACCTGGCCCGGTCAAGTCAGTGAGAAGCGCTGCGGCTTTGCTGCCAGCTTTTGTGTTAGACAGGGAGCTGGTGACCAGGCCACTTCCTTGGCTGTCCCTGCTGTGGTGGAAGATGCCAGCCAGCACAGGAGGGGCAGGGCATGCTAAGGAACACACTTCTCTCCTTGCAAGCCAAGAAGAGAACTGAGTCTATTTGCACTTTGCTGCTTGTGTCTGTGCATTTCTGGGCACTAGAGGAAACCAGCTTGAGCCTGTTAGGAGCTCAGTTTGGAAAAGAATGGTTTCTTTTGCCTTTGTCTCTTGTAATTTGGTTTCTTTTGTTTCTCTTTCTTTCTTGGGCAGCATCCATTCCTCAAATTAGCCAAGCCTCTCTTCGGCCTCTTCTGACAGCCCAATTGCTGCCATCCCTGCAGCAAAGTAATGCAGGAAACAGAGGAGATGGCAAGGACCACTTCAGCACTTGGAGAACAGAGCCTCTGAGAACAGGCAGACACCCTGAGGAGCGAGGGGCCAGGAAACAACAGGCGGCCATCAGAACAGGAGAGGAAGGTGGCATCTCCTTTTTTCCCATCTGCTAATCCCCCTCCTAAACTTCTGGTTAGGACAGCATTGCTGGAAGGCACAAAGTCATTCCTAATGTGCACTTTGCAGATGGGGGGTTGTGTGAGGCATGCGGCTTGCACTGTTTTTTAGGGGAGCTTGGCTGGGACTTCATCTGGAAGTGTTTTCCTCCCTTCAGCAGGCAAACAAGATGGAACGACAGCGTTTGCAGGCACAGCAGCTGCTGGAGCAACGGGAACACTTCCCGGCAGAGGTGCAGAGGGAGCAGGAGAAATAGCGGCTTGAGATGAAGCAGGAAGTTGCCATCATTCAAGCTACCAAGAAGAGGTATGAAGCAGAGCCAATCAAGAGGCAAAGGGTGTGGACAGAGAGTTTGCGTGTTGTTTTGGACTCCTCTGGGCTCCTAATGGGCACACCTTCTCTGGACACTGACTGTCTCGGAGGGGTTTGTCTCTTAGCTGGCCCTTGTGACCCAGCAAATGGCCCAGTCAACGTGTGTGTGCTGGTCTGGCCAAGCTGATCAGAGCAGATGGCTTCCTAGATTGCCTTTAGACTCCTGCCTTGTCACCAGTCACTGGAGACCAAATGCTCCAGAGAAATGGATTGGCTGTGTGGCTGCTTTCCTACTGCTGCTGTTTTTATGACTTTTAGTTAGTACTTCTGCTATTCCTTCTACAGATCACAAGGGCCCCCGCCACATAAATCTCCACTCCAGGTGCTTTGCAAATGAAAATGAAGGAAATTTGCAGGGAAGCAATCGAGGAAGCAGAGAGCATGACCAGGTGCACTTCAGCATTACTTTCTCCAATGCCAGCTCACAGCCAGAATAAAAACATCTTTAAAACCCTCAAGCCAGTTGGAAGATTCCTTTCCTTTTCTCCCTGGGAATATGGCTCAACATTTACTTTGGAATTGCCCATTCTTTCTGAAATGTCCCTCCTGTGGCTATTCTGGTGCGCTTTGCAACTAGGAACAGACTCCTTTCTTTAGCAACTCCAGTCTACGCTGCCTTTGGAATATGGCCCGTTGGCCACTTTTTGCCCAGCCGTGGAACTTCTGCATGAAGAAGAAAGTGCAATTGCATTTCCAGACAAAGGCAAGGAAGAGCAGGGCAGCCAAAACATCCCCAACGTCCCCTCTTTTTGTTGCTGAATCTAAAAGCAGCATCTGTCATCCTGTCTCCAGGGCCCTTGGAGACAAGGGTGACAAACCCGGCCCTTTGACCTTCCAGCTAATTCCACAGGCCTAGCTGCTTTCAGCCACTGACCTATCCCATTGTATCATTGGCAATGCAACAGTGGCACCCTGGAGCTGTCAAGTGGGATTGCCAGCGATACAAAGTCTCCAAGTGGCTTGCAGGTGGTTTAGGAACTTAACATTACAACTTTGCAACTTCACTCTAAGGCCGGTTTAACCTTGGAAGCGTGGGAAACCTAAAGAATGGGGAAAAGAACTTGTCTAATTGTGCCTTTTGACTCCGAGAGACAAAATACTCAAGTCCTCTCATGGTAAATATGAATGTAAATCCCAGCCATCACTGAACACAGTAGTACCTTTAAAGGGTTGTTCTAGCATTCAGCACTTTCAGGGATATTGCAGTGGTCCTACTCGTTTGCAGCAACGTATGACTCGGTAGACGGTCACTGATTTGCCCTGAGAAATTTTGTGAGGCACTTGGCAAAGCTGTGCTCTTGGCAGAACACCATGCAAATTCTTCTTGCCTGACAGCTATCACGATTTTTGAAGGATCTTTTGCAGTCAATTGTAAGCACCTTTTTTGACATTCCATGATTCGCTGGGCAATTCATTCCAAGATGGTAGGGGCTGCCTTTTTAGGCTGCTGGGCTAAGATCATCCATTCTAAAGCATGTAAAGGGTCAGACCACTGAGTACCCCACTGTCCAATAACTGCAGGAGGATGGAATTCAACTGTGAATATGAACACAGTGACACCCACTTCTGGGCAAAGCTGGTGCACCTGTCTCTTTGTGAGGGTCTGCTCTACTATTTCAGAGTGGCTCTTGCTTCCGGGATTAATTTCCTGGGGGAAGTCAGATCATCCTTTAGGAGGCAAAATACTAACTGCAAATTGTGGAGCAGTCAACCCTAGATAGGTTCTGAACCTGTTGATGGGACCCAGAAGTTTTTGGGCATCATTCAAATTCTTCATTTTGGTCGACAATTGAATTACTTGAGCCTGTGTATTCTGATCCATAACTTGGAGCACAAGGTACTTCCAAGGTGGTTGCTGCTGTACCTCTCCTGGGGCCACTTGCAGCCCAAATGTTTTTAAGGATTGCGCATTATCATTAAAGGCTTGGCTGAATTAGTGAAAAATCTTTTTGAGTTAGAGTGGCTATTAAAATATTGTCCATATAATGATGGATTATATGTCCCTGGGAACTGTTCCCTTCCTGATGCTGATTGTCTGAACAACATACCATTGGCAAATTGTAGGGCTGGTTTTCGTACCTTGAGGAAGAACTTCCCTTTGATGATGCTCCACTGCTGCAGCATTATTAATGGAACGCACTGTGAAGGTAAACTTTGGGGTATCATTTGGATGAAGTGGAACAGTAGAGAGTCCTGCGGTGAATGTGATGTTAAATTGTATCCCCATTTGTCCACCTAGCCCGGAAATAGATTTTGTAGCTTTAAAACTTCATCTAAGAGGAAAAGTGAGTGGAGAAGAAGCGTCAAGTCTGTTATCAGAGACTGTACTTGCTCCCCCCAACATCCCGGGATGGGGTTTTGACTACAGCACAGACAGACAACAAGGCACAGGTCGCCCTGGCTTTTCCAGCTAGCCAAAACAGAGAGATCTTCCTGGACTGTTTTCTTTCCCTTTTCTTTGAAACGGATTGAACCTGCTCTGGGCTGGGGACTCAGGGGAGCGCCGGGAGCTTGCACCCGTGAGCTACCGGGAGCCCAGCCTGGGCAGCGGCATTTTGCAGCACCAGAGGGATTGATAACAGAGCAAACATCCACAGGAAAGAGACCCTCTGAATTTTGTCATCTCTTCAGAGCGGTGAGAGGTTTTATCATTTGGTATTGGGCTCAATCTTGGGCTGGGTAGTGCTTTGCCTGTTAAATAAAGAGGTTTTTTCCAAC